TTAACGCTTCCAACACCAGCCACACCGTAGCCACGTCAAAATAATATATAGTTTCATTAACCTACCTGTCATATCATTCATATATTAAACCAACCACTTTTCACACAGTCAGAAAATACGAATTTCATTGCAATTTACGATATTTATCAATAAATTTAACATAATGAACTTTTCTAGCAACATTATTGAAAAAGGGAATAATCTGGGACAACGGGTCCATATCGAACATGTCAAAGAGCAATAAAAAGACGATTCAAGCAAATCGTATATAAATTAAATAAAGTAATAAATAAAATCAACAAACTAAAGTTTTCAAGCTTACATCAGTGCTACTATTTTCCATCTTTTCGTGCGATCGTGTAATGTAAGTCAAATGACATCTCGACATTGCTGTAATGTGATTGGCTGCCTTAGGTCATGTGCTTGATTTTGACCAATCACGATCCTGATATATGATAACGGGTAAAGCGTCATAAGTAACCAATTTGTATCCAATAAAATCGCATGTTACAACTACTAAAATACTCCTGGCGAGTTCAGCGTAATAGTATTGATGTTCAGTGCTTTCTTACGATACCAAACATCGAACGAACCTTCCCGCGTGTTATTTATACAAAGTTTCGAAAACGGATGTATTTCCCGGCAAATATGTGATGATATGTCGTACTCAGAAGTCTTATTTTTCATCATCATTTCCCGATTACTTTAGTATTGAAAATAAAAAAAATAAGTAAGTAGATAGCTTCCTTACACTTTTTATTGAAAACTAAGTTATAAATGAATTATATATTAATGTGATAAACATTACTTCCATATTAATAAACAGTAAGATAAGACCATTCAAATGGTGTATGACATGTAGTAGCAAAGATGTTTCACCAGCTGATAATTTTCTTGATAAATGTTGATTTCATCTGTCACCACAGAGTCTCTGGGAACTCGCCCAGATCTCCTGATGAATAAAAGCGACATAAACTCTTTCCATAATCCTAAGGACCCGTGAAGATCCGGGATAGAATAGGTCTTCACCAACCCATGTTTGCCGTAAAAGGCGACTATGCTTGTCGTAAAAGGCGACTAACGGGATCGGGTGGTCAGGCTCGCTGACTTGGTTGATGCATGTCATCAGTGTCCCAATTGCGTGGATTGATGCTTATGATGCCAATCACTGGATTGTCTGGTCCAGACTCGATTATTTACATACCGCCGTCATATAGCTGGAATATTGCTGAGTGCGGCGTTAAACGACAAACCAACCAACCAACCATAAGCCTAAGGTAAACAGGTTTGAGTTTCGTTGTGACACTGCCTGGCACTCGGCTTTCAGGGGATAACACGAGTAATGGTCTGCCCTCAGTCAGTATATTTATTTCCGAACAGGTTATTCATGTTAAACTTGCACAGTGGGCTCGCACTGTGAACCCGGTGTGTCACAAAAGTGCAATCATTTAAGCACAATTTCACCTTACGCCTCACCATTCATGTTGTCTTATCCCAGAATGAAATTCCCCGCTTCACCCCATATCCGAAGATTTTACAAAAGAATTGCTCATTTAAAGCCTGTTTGAAAAGTTATTCATATTCAAAGTAAACAGTTGGAGGGTGTCATATTCCAAGTGTAACTTAGTGAATTTCTCGTCAGTACTGAGCATAATGCAAGATCAAAATGCATTTTAAGTGTACCATTCCAAAGTTGTACAAATGAGTAGGTGTTCCAAGCCCTATTGGAGCATTATTCGGGTTTAATTTGCCCATCCATGTCAACACTCAAGGTCCAATCCGCAGGCAATTAGCAGGTTCCGAGCGTTTCGATGTGTTCCTTCCCAAGACGCAATGAGCATGCCAGCTACCCAGACGCTATCAGAGGGAGAGACTCGTCGATACGTGATGGACAAGGCAGAAACAAATGACCATATCATATATGCACAGTAAATAGTACATTTGCCTTTCTTGTCAAATAACATTTATCTCACGGAGTGGCCCAACCACGGTAGCCATATTGCGAAACAATACAAACAATTGCGCATGCTATTACACTGCCATTTCAGTTTACAACATAAAGAATTTTGTATATGTTTAGGTACGAGTGGTATTCCAAACATATGATCCTGTTTTCACTACACTACACTTTTTGAAAATTACTTGTCTTTTGCGTTTTGACAAGGCTCTTAAATTCCCCCAACCTGCATCTTCAGAAACAGTCAAATGAAACTGAAACTTCACATGATTCTTCCAACAACACATAATTAAGTTTGAATCCGATTTTGAATATGGCCGCCACAGTACACATTGGTTATTGGTGGGACTAAACACATTATATGTTTTAGTTGTTGTAAATTTTGACACAACAATAACAGCTGTGTACATCACGTCCATTGTAATACAAATGTAACTATGGGCCGATGGCCTACACTTACGAAAATAAACCGAATTGAATTGACTTGAACAAAATATTACACAAATAACATACATATTCTAACCTGGATCGTCACGGGTCTCCTATCATGAATACACCTGGATCTGTGCAAGAGGTTGAGATCCATGAATATCCGGGGTAGAATAGGTCTTTAGCAACCCATTCTTGATGTAAGAGGCGACTAACGGGATCGGGGGGCCAGGCTCACTGACACGTTTCATCCATGTCATCGTTTTGCAATTGCGTGGATCGATGCTCATGACGTCAATCATTGGATTGTCTGGTCCAGCCTCAATTATTTACAGACCGCCGTCATATAGCTTGAATATTGCTGAGTGCGGCGTTAAACAACCAACAAACAAACAAATAAAGATGTTTGAATCGGATGTTTAACAGCAGCTATATTGAAAAATCTATTTATGATCATTGCTCAACCAGTTCTGCATCGGCGACCCGTGAAGGTCCGGGATAGAATAGGTCTTCAGCAACCCATGATTGCCGTAAAAGGCGACTATGCTTGCCGTGAGAGGCGACTAACGGGATCGGGTGGTCAGGCTCGCTGACTTGGTTGATGCATGTCTTCGATCCAAATTGTGTGGATTGATGCTCATGATATTAATCACTGTATTGTCTGGTCCAGACTCGATTATTTACAGACTGCCGTCATGTAGCTGGAATATTGCTGAGTGCGGCGTTACACAACAAACCAACTACCAGTCCTGCATTGGCACGTGCGTTCCCTTTATGAAGACATGTTTTGAACAAATCTTAAGGACTTTACTCCGTATTTTGTGAGTAAGTGAGTGAGTGACTATGGTTTTACGCCGCTTTTAGCAATTTTTCAGCAATATCACGGCGGTGGACACCAAAAATAGGCTTCACACATTGTACCCATGTCGGGAATCGAACCCGGATCTTCGGCCTGACGAGCGAACGCTTTGACCACTAGGCTACCCGACCGCCCCCCGTATTTTATGAAACAAACTGAAACATGCGTTTTCTTTTTGAAGGTTTATGAAGCTTAGAGCTGGGGCTTCTGTGTTGAGTAAATTTAATTGTTGTATATTACACTATTTATTATTGAGATATCAAAGGATCGTGAACTTGTGGTTGCACATGGGTAACACTCACCAGCAAGCAGTTATGATTCAAGCAAGAAGAGGACAGACCCAGGACAGGGAGACCACGTGTCGCCACACCCAAGATCGTTATTTATTTATGATAATGTTCTTTATTTGAGGCCATCAGAGTGAAGGATCCAAGGACATGTTATCTGATATGACAAGTGATTCTGACCTATAAACCTTTCTGTCATGATAGATTAACTGTAATAATATGAAGGAATACGGTGGCCTTCAACTTTGTTTTGAGTTGCATATAAATTGTAACCGTGTGAACTCACATATGCTAACCTGTATCGGATGCGCTGGTACGTACGTTGTCTGTGACGTCACTTTGAACAGTATTATCGACATAACACTACGCCAGCTTCTGGGGGGGGGGGGGGGGGAGGATAAGTGAAGCATATCCTAGAGGATTGTCACTTTCCTTGAATAGAGGTGATGACAATTCAAGCATAAACACACATTAAGAAGGTTATCGATAGTATTGAATAGTCCATAGCAGTTTGTTTGTTGTTTAACGCCGCACTCAGCAATATTCCAGCTATATGACGGCGGTCTGTAAATAGTCGCGTCTGGACCAGACAATCCAGTGATTGACATCATGAGCATCGATCCGCGCAATTGGGATCGATGACATGTATCAACCAAGTCAGCGAGCCTGACCACCCGATCCCGTTAGTCGCCTTTTACGACAAGCATGGGTTGCTGAAGACCTATTCAACCCCGGAATCTTCACGGGTCCAAAGCAAAAGCCTACACCCTTGGTTTATTTTGTGATTGTCACATTCAGCATTACTCCATCTATATTTTATGGGCCTAAAAGCCACTGATTAATATTAAAAGCAACGATCAACGCCGTGGGATATGATGACGGGCAATCACCCAAGTCACTGAGCCTGACCACAAACCAATAAAAAAACCATGCAACGTCAAAAATGGTAACACTAATAGTGACTCAATATTTAGAGCCGCCATTCGCGATATTCTTGAAAAATCACAGATAATAGCCTTATCACATTGTAACCACGTGAGAATCAAAACCAGGTGTTCGACGTGACGAACTATCGGTTGGGTCACTAGTCCTTATACTGCTTGCAGTTTGAGGCCGCACTCAGCAATATTACAGTTACATGTATATAAATAACAAAGTCTGGACCCAGACAATCCAGTGATTGGCATATGGGCTACGATGACACGCAATGAACAAAGACACCGATTCATTGTGTCGCCTCTTACGACAGCATACGTGGCTGGAGACATGTATTTTGTAACCGGAATCTACGGGTGCGCTGGGATAAGAGAGACAAGAGTGAAGTCACTCATTGTTATAAATAAGAGCAGCTAAATCTAGCTTAATAATCAACAAATAATTATGTTCACTTTGAAGGAAACACTTTTCGTTGATGATGCATGTTTTTTCATTTTGATTGATTTGTACCAATAATATACACAAATCAGAAATGAAAAAGAACCTGTAAAATCTTGATGGCGAAAAAATATTTAATGACAGACATATTCATGATTTATGATAGACAATTTTGGTATTTTCATTTCGTGACCAGATGTGTTCAGCGTTACAATGTATGTCATTAGTCGATGTTATTACTAAGATATTTTCAATATAATGGGGTAATTTCCACATGGTATTCATGTGTTTGTGACTTAACTGAACACAATACACTAAAACATATTTGTTAATTATTTGGAAAATCCAAATGGGAAGAAGATATGCTGAAAGTTTCAAGAATGTTTCCGGGAAACGAAAATATCACTTTTCGTGCTCTGTATAATCTCACAAAGGATCGACCAATGCACTTTATTAACCAAGACTATAGACAAGCAAAGATGCGGCAATCATTGTAAGGGACAGCCCAATAACTTTTCCGGCGTTGTCGGGTTGGCTGTCGCTGACACTGGGCAAATTTATTGGACAGCTACAAGATGACAGTGCTGACAGGAACTTGATGTCTTCTGCCACCAGAGACCAGGAAAGTGCCCACTGAGCGTATTCCCCCACCTCGCCCTGCAGACACGGATGTTCCTTGACTTTAGCTAGAACTTCGGGGCATTCTGGACGACAGGCTCCATAGAAGTTGCAGCTGTCAAGAACCTGGTGAGGAATTCAGAAATTATTTGAGTGAGTGAGTATGGTTTACGCCGCTTTTAGCAATATTCCAGCAGTTCCAAGGCAGGTTGTTTGACACGTATTACTGATGTTGGTAATAGAAAGACGTTACGAGTGAGATCTTTAACCAATACGCTTCCTCACCTCTTGAGAACTAATCTAATGAGACCTTTGCTCAAAACGCTTGTCTGTCTCTTGTTTAATGCCACACCTAGTTGGTTTGGTTGGTTGGTTTGTTGTTTAACGCCGCACTCAGCAATATTCCAGCTATATGACGGCGGTCTGTAAATAATCGAGTCTGGACCAGACAATCAAGTGATTGACATCATGAGCATCGATCCACGCAATTGGGATCGATGACATGCATCAACCAAGTCAGCGAGTCTGACCACCCGATCCCGTTAGTCGCCTTTTACGACAAGCATAGGTTGCTGAAGACCTATTCTACCCCGGAATCTCCACACCTAGCAATACTCGAGCTATATGACGCCGCTCTGTAATTATCGAGTCTGGAGACAAACGATATTTTGAATCCCACGCCGTCGGATGACGATGACACAATACCAACAATGACACAAGTCCCGAGCCTGGCTACCCGATCTATGTTATCACATCTTAAGACAAGAATGGGTTGTCCCGGAACTGTTAAAAAACACAGAGTGCCTGATGGGTACCCCACGATCTGGTACCCTTTTCAAGTTATGTCCATACGTTGTAATAAAAGCTAAGGCAATATTCACGGTACATGGTAACTAGTAGATTAGTAGAAGGAAATGTGAGTTCGTAGGTCGACAGATCGGTTGTGATTCATTTACTTCAACGTTTTGTGACTTCAACTTGAATACCGTGCCCATGTAAGTACGTATCCATAGGTTACCAATGTTAACCTTGTGTTTGCGATTAGCCATGTATCAGGGTAGGCATAATGTATCACTGTCTACGCTTATGGCTTCCATGACTCGTCGGAAGAGGATTGGGTGCCTCTAAATACTAGCATAGGTTTCCTGGGCCCATTTCGGACCAGGAATCTCCAGTGGTGCTCAATTTAGTCGCCTCTGACGACCAGCCAATGGGTGCTGTGTATACATTCTGCTATGTAAAATCTGGATAATGAACATATGAATAGAGTTGAAACAAAACCATTATATATCCATTCTGGCAGGTGTGGTGTGTACGGGGGCACTTCGATTCTTGTAATGAGAGATCGCATATTATTTACTGCTTCCAAACCAGGATGTTTTCTGTGCAAGGAGCTGAACAATGTAAACATAAAGGTCAGAAAACACTGTGTTTCAGGACTTCCTGAGAACAAATGCTTTTTCTTTCGTAAAACAATCGGAGGTCTATTTAGTTTCTCGACTCCTAAATGCGTGGGAACAGGTACAGTTAATAACCACTCACCGTTCGCCTCATAGAACCTGTTTCAGGATCGGATGCATTAAGAAATGTGCTCATGTTGCATGTTTTCAAAGGACCGGTCTCTAAACCGCATAGATCAATCGATCCCCAGCTGATACAAGTAGGACGTGTCAAGTTCTCAATGGGGAACACGGTGAAGATGCCGTAGCACATCTCGTTGAAGGTGCCTTCGCCGAAGTAGGTGGTCGTGGTCCTTGACAGAGACCTGTAGGTGCACGTCGTCTCGAGTCTGTCGCCAGGGAGGAGTTCGACGGGAGGGTCGTATCTGCAAAGCATCATTTGTAAGTTTGATTTGATTGTTTGTAGTTTAACGCCGCACTCAGCAACAATCCGGGGGTTTGTAAATAATCGAGTCTGGACCAGACAATCCAGTGATTGACATCATGAGCATCGATCCATGCAATTGGGATAAGATGACAAATATATCAACAACCAGCGAGCCTGATCACCCGATCCCGTTTGTCGCCTCTACCGATAAGGATGGGTTGCTGAAAACCAATTCTTACCCGGGTCTACACGGGTTTTGATATGGAAAATAAATAACCTGTGTTTTCAACGCAGAGCTAGATTAATGGAGATTTTACCTCGCTAAATCTAATATAAATTTTAATCGAACGGGGATCAAAGTAAATGAATGAAATTGGTTCAAAGCCGCTTGGAACACTATTTCAGGTATATCATGTCCAAGATATTTATTGCATGTAGGGCATGCATCCGGCCCATATACAAAAGAGTTACAATTAGGTAGTTTTACATATTTGGATATGTACTCATGTTCAACTATTGGTTTCTGAGGGAAATTGCAATTTTAACATATATAGCCAGTTTTAATATGACAGCATCATCTTTTGAAGAAAGAAAAGAAATAAAAGGTACAGGATAATTTGACAGATAGCGTTCTAGTATCACAATACTTCTTAGATCACAATAATACGGACAAACAAAAGTAAAATGAATTTCATTTTCTACAGCTGAATGATATAATGGGCACAACCTCTCCGACTTTTCAGTGGACATTTTTCTTGCATTCCATTCGGCGTTCATACATTCCACGAATATTAAACCAGTATTTCAAGCATCTAATTTGGGAGTTGATGTATAACGGGTATCCGCCACACTCGCCATAGACCATACAATTGGGTGTTGATGGACCAACGGATAAGATTTTTTTACAGGCTAAAAGATGTAGCTTTTCGAGACAATCGTATCGCTGAAATCCCAATACAACAGTATTGGTTGGATTTCGGCATCAAATAATTAAATATAATATATTCAGTGTAAAAGCTCCTACTTTCTGCGAGACAGACACTACATTGATAAGGACCGTCTTTGATGTTAAGTCCGAGACACTTTTCTTGAAGTTCATTGCATGGGTAAACATTACACCAAGATACCTATATTGGCTCAGAACATTAACACATTAACCATCGAAAATCCATCTTTAATTCAGTGCCACCTGACCCCCTCTTCTGAAAATGACAATATTTCTTTGATCATAGTTAACTGATAGTTTCCACTCCTTGGTGTAACATTCTAAAATGTTTAGTTGTTTTTGGAGTCCAACAACAGAATCTGATACTAAAATGACATCATCGGCAAAAAGAAGCATCAACATTTCTATTACATTTGGGAACATTTGAATTCCATATTTACCCTTAGCCCTAATTTCATAATATAATTCACTAATAAAGGATGAGAACAATATCTGGCTCAAGATACATCCTTGTCGTAATCCAACAGGACAGTCAAAGAAATCGGTTACATCGTCACGACCTCGTACACATGATATTTGAATACATAGCTTTTAATATAGAGTACTTTTGGTACTTTTGTATTTTGGTGCTTTGGTATCACTCACGGGTAGAGGATCTAACCATCGATCTTCCGCTCTCCATGCAGACGCTCTATTTACTTCACCATGGAAGTGGTCAGTAAATAAAGCGCCACACACCTTTGTAAATGAATAATGACACAAATACCCAGACACATTTTCTTCAGATTCCATATGCTTACAGGTGAATGATGGGGTTATCATAGCTGTACACGTCGTCCTTGGTCAGATCTCGGACCTTCTCATCATTCCGGAACATTTCCACATTCTGCTGGTAACCTTGGGAACAGAAAACACAAAAACATATATCAAGAATATATGCCTATCTTGTATCTTGTTGGTAAGTTTTGATATATGAGTGTGTCTGTTTTGTTTGTTGTTTTAACGTCGCACTCATCAATATTAAAACTATATGACGGACGTCTGGACCAGGCAATCCAGTGATTGACACCGCGAGTAACGGACCACATCGTCTATGTACGTTGACACACCAGATATATCACCACCCGATCCATGAAGTCACCTGCAACTAGCATCGGTTTCTGGGGACCAGTTCTAACCCGTAATAGCCACGAGGCCCCACCCTAACGATGATATGAATTAAATGTCATCCATTTACATTGTCAATAAAAACGTCTTGAATTATCCTGGACATGGCAGATTTTATTGTGTTTGACCTTGAGAGTGATCCAACTAATAAATAGCATATGCTTCTCATTGAGAGTAGGTCACAGTGACACACCACGGATATCATTTATATATCATCACTTGTTGCTCATCCGTATTCACATTATGTAACAAATACAGACCCGTGAAGATCCGGGGTAGAATAGGTCTTCAGCAACCCATGCTTGCCGTAAAAGGCGACTAACGGTATCGTGTGGTCAGGCTCGCTGACTTGGTTGATGCATGTCATCGATCCCAATTGCGTGGGATGCTCATGATGTCAATCACTGGATTGTCTGGTCCGGACTCGATTATTTACAGACCGCCGTCATATAGGTTGAATATTGCTGAGTGCGGCGTTAAATAACAAACAAACAAACAAACGGAATGACACTCAGACATAACATTAAAGCATCCCCATTTACACAAAGTTGGTGAATTATTCCCACCTAGGTAGTGCATGTGGTTGAGCCCCGTGGTGATGTAGACGCTGTTGTCGACGTTCTTCTGTGTACATTCAGAGCTGCACGTGGATTTTTGAGTGACGCGCGGCTGACCAGCAGGAATCTCGAGGCGAGTCTGGCCGGTGTAGAAGAAGCCGGCGTTGTATTTGCGGAGTTTGGGGGTGTAGTACAGGATCATCCCGGAGCTGTCCCAGTAGTCTGTCACCAGCTCTGGGTTAGTCCAGTGGAACTGTGCACAACAGGCAGATGATACTTCATGATGACTCATGCGTAAAATACGTATAAAACCGGTGGCTAACTAGGCAATATTCCATCCTTATGATAGAGGTCTGTGTGAATAATCAAGGCAGACAACTGTACAAAGTGTTGTATCATTATCAACGTCCCAAACTCTCGGGGTACGACAAGTCAACGAGACCCGAAACCCGATCCAATTTAGTTGTCTGTTACGAAGATCATCATACTAGTTTTAGACACCTATTCCAACAACACATGACAATTGCAATATATATGTATTTGTCTAGGAGAAATCCCCCTTGTAGTAGTTTGTTGTGGTACAACCGTAGGGTCAGTGTTCTGTTATCGGAACAATAATTTTGGAAAGACCATTCTTAAAATCCATTGCAGTGGTATTGCTGGAAATTTGAGGAAAGTGGTATTAAACGCACTCACTCACTCACGTTGAAAACACAATAAATGATGTAGTGCGACCGAACTAAAATGTAGTATTCCTTCATTTAATACATATGATTAGAATTAATGACAACAGGGGACACGAGTGGCCCAGTCGTCTAAGGCGCCGCAATTTGCCATGCAGAGTTGCATCCCTTGGACACGCCTGAAACCTATGATTGTGGTTCGAATCCCGGTTCGCCCCGATTATGTTTCCAGGTTTGTCAGCACTATTTCGGTTCTCGAAGGTTTCACTGAAGTGTTTAACGTCTGAGGCCTGTATCACTTCGACACTTCCTCCCACATCAAGCTGACAGGCCGTAATAATCACTGGAATACTGTTCAAAGTGGCACTCACTCACTCACTCACTCAAAGAGTCATTTAACTCACTCACTGACCTGCATCATGACGGTGTGTGTTCCCTTCCCGCCTATCTTGAATCCAGCTTCATGGTAGATACACTCCCCCGCCATCCCAAGCGTCCAAAGACCCATGCTGAGGCTGCAGCCGCCTTCGGTCATGAAGCAGTTCTTCGGTTCTGGAATCTTGCTGGCTAAAAATATAAGGATGTAGAAATACCACCAGTTTAGTCTTCTTATTCCGGAACACAAACTCGATATGACTGTCAGATATGACTGCCCAGATGTTACTGGGTAAGCTCGATGCAGACAGTGTTTTATGTCAGGTGAACAAGAAACCCCAAGAGGATTCCGGGTTAATATATTTCCCCAACAACCTGTGCTGGTCGTCAGCGATGACTTAATAGATCAAGTGCTTAGCTATAGGCCGGCTGACTCGATTGACTGCTGCAATCGTAGCCCGACATTGTCACTGGTTTGTCTGGTTAAGTCCAGATTATTTACTGGCCACCGTTATAACAAGCAAAAAAAAACAAAAAAAAACATAAGTGACAGAGTGTGTTGGTGTTAGTGCTTTGAACCTTATTTCAGTTATGTAACGGATGTCATTTTTATGATAGAGGCGACTAACGGGATCGGGTGGTCAGGCCCGCTGACTTGGTTGATGATGCATGCCATCCTATCACAATTGCGTAGATCGATGCTCATGATGTCAATCACTTGATTTTATGGTCCAGGCTCGATTATTTCCAGGCCGCCGTCATATAGCTGGAATATTGCTGAGTGAGTCGTTAAACAACAGAAAAAAACAATCAAAACATTTTTTTATGAATATAGCATTATGTAACGCATGGTTTGTGAAAGCAGGAACAAACATGATGCAAACAAACCAAAGTACATAATCGGAGCAATTCCGAATCTGCAAAATACTGGCAAAAGGATGCATCGATTTGTTTCTGCGGTTGCTTCGCCGTACATGACATGGCGAAGGAAGACAATATTGTTTCCATCAGTTCTGAAGTAAGACTTCTACCTGTGTCCACGCATCCAGAGACTGTGATGTGATGCATGACGTTCGGGTTGTCGATTACAGGCTGTGTTGCTATCAGGTGGAATTCCTGATCTGCAGGGTACTCATCTGGAAACTCCAGGTCAAAGGTCATGCACATGTACGTGGTCTCCACCGCAGGTACTAACGTGCGTGGGAACCGCAGTGTTATGTTACGTACATCTGAAAAACAAGAACGTCATATTTTCAACTCGAGAAGTCAAGAATGAGAACGTCACATTTTCAGCTTGGGGCGTGAAGAATGTCACTGTGTTTATAAATTTTAAGCTTTGTCGGAGTACCGTATGTCTTAGACGTTTGAGGCCCTTGAAGACGCCGGGGTAGATAATGTCTTCAGCAACCCACACTTGCCGTGAAATGTGACTATGCTTGTCGTACGAGGCCACTTACGGGATCGATGCGTGGATCGATGCTCATGATATTAATCACTGGATTGTCATGTCCAGACTCGATTATTTACAGACCGCCGTCATATAGCTGGAATATTGTTGAATGCGGCGTTAAACAACAATCCAACCAACCAACCACTTTGGTCAACCGACAAGCACGGACACACATCAAGGAACACAATAGTGCGGATTATAGGGTTCAAACTCAGGTTCGTTTGACACTGACACGACGCTCCTCTCCACAGAGACACCTGTGGACAATCTGCATCAATACCTGGCTTCACATCTCACCCGCTGAGTACCGGAGCGAAGTTGGCCTGACGCCTCTTTGAACACTATTTCAGCTATACCAGGTGGCAGATTTTAGACGTCTACCACTTTTGTAAAACTCACGAGCACGGGTAGGGTGCTGACAAACCATGAAAAATAGTCAAGGCGAATCGTCGAATCGAACCCAAGTTCTTAGATTTCCAGCACGCCTTACTCTGCTTTTCAGTTGGGTTGTTATGAAATTTGTTTGAAAAAAGGTTTCACATTTCGTTTTTGTCTCGTTCATTTTTAACTGTTGTAAAAAAGTAAATAAAATAATTACTCCAGGGATAAAAGATATGATAGCTTGAAATTAATATCTCTTACGTGATTCGTTGATGGCGGGACATATGAATTCCTCGGTGTCACAATTGATAATCATCGACTCGCACAGTGGACTATCAAGGGGGTCACACACGCCTGTGGCAATGAACAAAGAAAGTGCAATGTAATAAAATTAAATTTGGAATCAAGGCAAAATGTGCACGAAGTTTCAAAATTATGCAATATCCTTAAACACAAGAGGCCGACGATTGAATAATTTTGGGAGGGGAATACTTATAACAAGAATAAGAATAAGAACAATAAAAAAAACTATTTTGTGGCGCCAAAAAATCCACATCATGGCGCATACCATGGCAGCTGCTATACTGAAATATCGGGGGGCCGTATAATCTGAGTTTCAATCTGGGGAGATGCTTCTGTCCAGAAGTCAAGACCCTGGTGGATCAGTATTCAGTGTGCAGGTTACAGAGGTAGCCGGTAGCAGAGTCGTGCACATATCGACATGTCAGGGACAGAATCTCTAAGTCCGTTCTCACTGGTAGCCTTTGAAGCGACATACATGTACGTGCTTCAATCAGACTGTTACAATGTTCACTTGGCTAATTATGTGTCATCGTACCTCGACGGCGTGAATCCATCCTCATGTTATTAACAATTACTTAACCTGCCGTGACATATCTCTAATAGAGCCCAGTGTTGTGTTGAACCACATACATCACTGACCACACGAACATGGGGACCACTTTCTGGGTTGACCTCACCTGGGTGTGTTATCCCTGTTAGTCCCTCGGGGAAGTTACCACTCGCCGCAGTCCAGGAACAGCTTGGGTCACCAAGTTCCATCCCGTTAGACTTCCCATCTCCGTCAGAGTCCAGCTCACACAATGTCTTAGTCCACTGTCAAAGAATTACAAAAAAAACAAATGTAAATGTGATAGTGTAACCTTCGTTTCTGTAACCTGTATCATGTGTCATATTACAACCGACGGCGCGGAATATTGATCATCTGATTTATCTGGTCCAGTTTCGAAATGTACAGGCCGCGATCATTGACTGCATCATTAAACCAGAAACAAACCCTGCATATATTATTGACATGAACGCAATTTCGATATGAAGTTAAAGACAGTGTGGTCACTGTTCCTTTGTCTGAATGGCAGTGTTTCCCCTGACGAGTGTGTGAATGTTGATGATGTGAGTCAAAATGGGTGTCAATGCCTCGTTCAAAAATATTGCACTTGTACTTTTGCAGGTTTTATTGTCCAAGCCCACTAAGATACCATTCCGCATTTTAACATGCATATGCCACATAAACACAATGTACTAACTCCGAGCCGAGCATTCGTTTTATCTCTTAATGCTGAGCGCCAGGCGGGATAACAACAAGTACCTACTGTTGACGTATTTTGGTATGACGCAGCCGGGGTTCCAACTACCGATCCTCCGCTCTCCTGACAGACGCTCTATCCTCAAGACCATGGACACGGTAGAATGTTGATTAACACCGAGGTCAGCAACATTCAGGTTTTACTACTGCTGGGTGTCAATAATCGAGTCTTAACCAGGCAAACCAGTGACTGAAAACACCAACAACGATCTGCGCCAGCGGGGCACATTCAACCCGATCCAAGTTTTTTGGACGAAGCGAACGATTGTTTTCCAAAAGAGAATGTGCTTGTTGTTAAACGCCATACTCGGCAATGTTCATGCTGTACGAATGCTGCCTGTAAATAATCAAATACAACGCAGGTATTGATATTTTAAGCAACGATCCACAGTGATGGGATATGATGACATGCAATTATTAATTCACCAAACCTAGCCACCCGAACCGAGACGTAGCCTCATGCAGGGGTTGCTGGGGACCAATTCTAACCAGGAATGCCCAAGGGGTTTGTGAATAGTGTGTATCTACCTTATGACCATTGTTAGCAAAGTCTAAGCCGAACTGATTGTTGTCGCCACCTCCCAATGCACTGAGATGTCCGACTCCTCTCCATATAAAGTTGGGTTTACAGGGGTGAGGAACTTGATCCCCGTTAGGTATCTGATCTTGGTAGTAGCGGTAGCATGTTGTACACTGCAGCAAGAGCAGCTGCACCAACACCAACAGGCTGTATCTGATAGAAATGTGAGTCAGTCAAACCGTCATACGTAGTGCTCTTCATTTATGTGGAACAAGTTTATGTTTATGAATACAGTGAATTGCACACAGTAATATAAGGTTTTCAGTGAATCGTCAGCATCAGTTTGTCACGGGTACGGAACAATGTTAAATCATCATGTGTAAATACCTTTCGAATACGCCCGAATGTGATTTGGTATTTCCTTCTCTCGGATTTGTATGTTAATGTGTATCAGTTTTGCTTAATATATCCGCAGGAGCTAATTCTCTCATATGTTCCCACTTCTCACACATGGCTAACTGCGACCAACAGGTTCCCCGAAGATACCCCGTGTCTCCACATCCATAGCTAGTCTTTCTACTGTTGCTCATTATTCTGCCCCTTGCTCAAGAATACCCAGACTATGTGTACCATTGCTAATGCATTGCGTATCTTCATACAAAATCAAATACTTCCACTAGTACTATTCCTACAACCACCATGCGACGTGGCTCCGTTAATGTTTCTAGGTTTGTCAGCACCGTACCCGTGCTCGTTGGTTTTACCGAAGTGGTAAGGCTGACCTTACACATCAAGCGTCACTGCTGGGATACAACTGAAATACTGTTTAAAGCAGCGTTACACAAAACTCACTCATTCACCAAGCATCGTATCCTGTAATCTATTCGCAAATGTTCTTAAAAATCAAAGTAGGACATTTGCATAAAGGCATAAAGGCATTTTGTGATAACAAATGAAAGCTTTTCTCAGTTTTCCCAACAAACAACCCAAGATGGTATTATGTCATATAAGACTTTGGTGCCATGTTAATACACAATAACCAATATTGCCCGTAAATGCATGTGCAGAGTAACGCGAATAGGTCCTCTTACCTTAAATCCATTGTGATAAGTGACATTAATGTTTGTGACGAGAGGCTTAATATATTACCCACTGACGCACACCCGTGTGACGGTTTATCATTGGCAATTTATGGCATTTTCAATTATCCAAACATCGAATGACATCTGAAAGTGCCATCACTCAACTATAAATTTAGTTCAAAAGATTTTTATCTGAACGATGAACTTGCAGTTTTGAACATTTACATGGAATTGACTTCTATTATACAATATTCATTTGTGGTTATATTCCAAGCCGAGAAATCGACACCTCCCATAATCCGTGGGGATGTTGTTCAGTACTGTTTGTTTTTGTTTTGTATACTAAAATAAACATCCGGGGCCTGTAGAATATTTACATAAAATAGCCAATGTATTTTGTTAACACGGTGGATTAAGTCAGAAACAAATCAGCCACGCCTGCTAACGAATTGATGTGTCCTGATTGGCTGATAAAAGGAACAAAATTCTGACAACATAACATACAACATTAGAACTGCTTATAATATAGCCATGCCTATATTACGTACAAAGACTGCTGAATCCTCGTTTATACCATCCTCTATTAAATTGTGGAATGCATGACCAATTCAAAAGGATATTGAAACCTTCTATCAATTTAAATCAAGTTGAAAAACAGAAAAATCTAAAGTTCCACCATATTTCTCATATGGCCTCAGAAAAAATAACGTAATGCATACAAAATTAAGACATGGTGATAGTGAATTAGAATATGAATTATTAAGAAGGGGTTTACACGAGGTTCCAAAATGTCGATGTGGCAACCCATGTGAAAATACATTTCACTTTTCCTTTGAATGTCCAAAGGGCTTCACACATTGTATCCATGCCGGGTATCGAACCCGGGTCTTCGGCGTGACGAGCTAACGCTTTAACCACTAGGCTACCCGACCGCCCCATATGAACGAAAAAATCGTCAGGAATTTTCATGCATATGTAAAGAAAACCAAAAGGTTTCAGTGGAAAATGTTAATGGTAAACACGTTTCTCTATTTCGGTTCTTTCCTCTCTGTTATTAAAAGTTTTAATTGTAAATAAGCTTACATGGAACTATGGGAGAGGGCGTTCTAAGTTGTGATATCTTGTGCCCAATCCTTTCATGAGAATAAAATATGTTTAAACTTAATAGCATGGGTGGGTCAATGCCTTGTGTTGCATTAATGTGCTAAACGATGTCATTGATTTTGTATTGCTGTCTGCAGTTGTGTTTGTGTTACTCATTAAACAAGCAATCTGACGTTATTAATGTTGACGTTGTTATTTATGAAAATTGACTTCAATATTTGTTTGCGTTTAGGGTAAATTTGAGGTAAATCGCAAAGAAGAATTAAGAACGAGGCGTTGGTTCTTTCACGATAAAACATTGTTCTTTCGTGACGTCATTTCTGGGAGATTCGAACGTGCTCTCGCAACTTGATGACGTCGTAATTGGAAGACGTCTTTTTTAGGGGAAGTGTCCAGTGAGTTGTTCCCCATAGATGTCGCAGAGGAAGGTAGATACACGAAATGGCCGAACGATCGCATCCAAAAGTGGAAGAGATTGGTATTGGGAGAAAGGTATAATCGACATAGACATTGTGAGCATATCTGTGAAATACCAAACTTAACCCCCTGTTGTCCGACATTGCCGAGATGGTATTGAGTGAGTCATTATTATTTAAATACGGGTATTTTAAGCTTGTACATGTTATTAACATCCTTAAAGGGGCTGTACATACTGTTGAAATCCTCATGAATTATTCTCCCGATGACCACGGGTTGTTTATTTCTTAAATACACGTAAACACCAGGGTGCACACTAACAGCGTACATAGTCTACACGTATATACACAGAATGCACACCGGTTTTTACGTTTATACAAGAACCTCCATGAACGCTACAAAATATTGAAGTCAAATCATGCATCGACGTCATTATGCATGTGATCTACATCTGTCTTTGTGGCTTGGTTTCTAAATGAATACCAGGCGAAAGAAACGCAAGCCTTGGCTTTAGCAATATATATGTCAGGTGTTTGTTTGAAGACGATAAGGAGCTTAGTATATACACATTGCGGATGATTGTGGACCACATACAATACATGTAGCCCCAGAGTTCAAAGAGATACAGCGATATTCATTTTGAACTTTATATTGGTCATGTATCAGTGTTTGGTTGTTGTTTAAGGTCACACCATTCCAGCAGTATGACTTCGGACTGTAAATTAAATAGTCTAGTGATTGATATTATCAACACCCTCCCACTCTGTCCTGTACGTTGAGTCACCAAATCACTGAGCCTGACCACTCGATCCATTTTGTCGCCTCGGTAGCATGGGTTGCTGTGAGCCAAATCTAACCCGGAATCCGCCCTGTGGCCAACATATATTATAAAAATTAATCTTTATATGTATTAAGACCTCTCTTTCATTCACGTCGTTTTCGGATATCTTACAAACTGTAGGGTCGGTGTATGGAGTTTTAACGAAGTCGAATCCTGTGATTTAAATGTGTATTTTAGCTACTTTTAGTGTCTTTTCATGACATCATGAAATAACGTTACACATTCTGTGGGAATTGAAAAGAAAAAGGCTGACCTCAAAACATTTTATTCCATACTTTTGAAAATCACGGTTTCGGATACCCAAACCAAGCATTAATAACATTCAACGGCCAAAATAACATGATGATGTGTTAACCGGCGCTGGGAACAACATGAATTATATCTACTTACACCTGTCATGTTGCCTGTTTTTTGTTGATTTGCTCGTACTGACATGACATGGCCGATGGCCGTGTACAAAAGGGTTTGGTTACAACTATTTCACAACACATTTATCACGTGTGCTTTCAATGAATCACTATCCCAACTGTTTGACCGGCTTTGTAGAAGTTGGTGCAAAAGTAAGAAAACGTACATCTTTATGGATAACAACTTCTGGTTTAATGCGTATAGCGACGTTTCGATGTCGATTTTTTCACGGTCATCAAGCTGAGGTGTTCTTTTATAATCACTAGCTATAGGCTAGTTTAACGATGACTTCCCATGTAGTTTGCAACACTGCAGTCAGCATTATTCCGACATATGTGACAGCGGCCTGTAAATATTCGTAGCTTCTATTCGATGACATGTAATTGACCAAGTCAACGAGTTTGACCACCCAATCCATTTAGTCACCGGTTACGACAAGGTTAGGTTGCTGGGGCATGTTTTCTTCCCTGGAATCCTCACGGGGGGACAAGTCAAGGTTGCTGGGTACGTATATTCTTACCCAGAATTCCCACGGATGTCTCAGCTTGAAATTATTTTGTTTACCTTAAGTAAACACGAGTATATCATGTACATGTCAAGTTGCTTACATAACACGGAGAAGTCCACACATTCTATACTGTTAGATAAACACACTACTCCAGCCGTCTTTGTCAACTCTTATGCATTGCATTAATACGATATTTGATGTAAACTAACCTAAAAATGTCTGTTGTCTCCCAGCAAATGTGTTCACATTTGGATCGTTTTCGTTTTGTCGAACCTGAGGCAAAACATTATTTTCATTTTAGCATCTACTGGAACAAATTAAAATACATCCCAGTAAATATGTGCACACGAGCAAGACGTAGAATTTAAGAGTTTAGTTGCTATAGATATGGAGGCTCTTACTTTTACACATTCAAGTAGTATGGACAAGTTGACACCCTCTGCAAATGTCTTTTGATTCTAGTTGGCAATGCAACTTAACATTATCATATGAACGAAAGGTGAGTGAGTGAGTATGGGTTTACGCCGCTTTTAGCAATATTCCAGCAGTATCACGGCGGGGGACACCAGAAATGGACTTCACGCTTTGTACCCATGCCGGGATTCGAACCCGGGTCTTCGGCGTGACGAGCTAACTGTTCTTTACCTTGAGTCACCAAGTCACTGAGCCCGACCACTCGATCCACTTAGTCGCCTCGGTAGCATGGGATGCTGTGAGCCAAATCTCACCCGGAATCCGCCCAGTGGCCAACATATATTATGAATAGTCTTTGTATGTTTTAAGACTTCTATTTCATTCACGTCGTTTTCGGATATCTTACAAACTGTAGGGTCGGTGGTTGAAATGTTAACTTGATGAAATGTTAAGTCGAATCCTGTGAGTTAAATGTGTATTTTAGCTACTTGTAGTGTCTTTTGATGACTTCATGAAATAACGTAACACATTCGGTGGGAATTTAAGAAAAAGAAGGATCACTCAAAATATTTTATTCCTAGCTTTAGAAAATCACGGTTTCGGATACCCAAACCAAGCATTAATAACATTCAACGGCCAAAATGACACGATAATGTGTTAACCACCGCTGGGAATAACATGAATTATATCTACTTACACCTGTCATGTTTCCTTTTTTTTTTGCTGTTGATTTTCATGACGTTCGGGTTGTCAATTACAGACTGTGTTGCTATCAGGTGGAATTCCTGATCTGCAGGGTACTCATCTGGAAACTCCAGGTCAAAGGTCATGCACATATACGTGGTCTCCACCGCAGGTACTAACGTGCGTGGGAACCTCAGTGTTATGTTGCGTACGTCTGAAAGAACGTCATATTTTCAAACCGAAAAGTCAAGAATGAGAACGTCATATTTTCAACTCGGAGAGTCAGGATTGAGTGATGTGGCCCTGTTGGTTGAACGCCGCTTTGAAAGTTTCCGTGAAGCCGACAAGCACAGATAATATCTAAGATGGTTCGCTGAAAGATCAAAGGCGCCGACGACACTTTATTCTGCTGTTCAAATGACCTCCCCCGTGATCTAACGTGTCCTTTGTAACAGCGCTCTGTCATTACTGTCATAAGTTCTCGTACTTCAACCGTAATAGTTCAGGGCAAAACTATACTTTATTACACTATTTTACAGCGATTTGTAACGGTTTCACATCTCGTTTTCGTCTTGCTCATTTGTAGCTGCTTTTTTAACGTAAATACATGACATGTGTAAAAGGTCAGCGCCACAGAATGATACAAGGTAT